TTGTTTACGTAACGCCGTCCTACGTGCTCATCCCGTTATCTATCTTTTTCTGCTCATGCGCACTTGCAGGCATACATGTAAGGTAAGCTATGGTTTCAGCCAGTCAGTGAGGCTTACCTTTCTCACCGCGGTTCTTTGAAAATGGCCGAGGTTTGTAGGAGAAAGTGTCTACGAAGTCTATGAGAAGAAAAGAAAGGCCTGAGAAGAGGCAGATATATCCCAGAATGCTTTGCTCATGGAGCTCTCCTCGCAAAGCACTATGGGATTTTCTCAGACTGCGGCGACTAATAGCAAAAATGGCGCGGGCACCGCGTGTTTGAGGAGGACTTACGTGACCAACGGGTATTAAAAAGTAGTGATTATCTGTCTGAACGGTCAGTTGACCGAGTTCACTATATAGTCCCCGCTCTATATAATGATTCAGGGATTAGGGCGGACTTTCAGACATAGTAAGCTTATATGAAAACAGCAACCGTTAAATAGAGTATGCGTGAGGAGAAATGGGCTCGTGCATGCTCTCGCACGCGTTTAATAGGCAGGTACGTGGTTGTGCATGTGCATTTTTTTTTTTAAGTGGAGGGGGCTGGTCTTTTTTTGAAAAATTCCACAGCAATAGAAAATCATTTGCTTTGCTGATGAAGATTCTCAGTCATCCAAGTCATATTCATTCCATAAAAGTTTAAAAACCAATCCACTGGACTTGGTTTCCAAGGTTACTGGAGGAGAAGCAAAACGTCTTCAAACCTTGGTAACCAAGTCCAGTGGATTGTTTTTTAAACTTTTACGGAATCATCGTGGAATAATCTGGTTTCTAAGTATGCCATTCATTTACAATATCTATTCTACTGATGAATACTCCCAATCCCTCTAAAAAGGGTTAACTTATTGGTATCTGTCTTGTTAAGAATGACTAGTAAAAGAAAGGAATAGACCAAAGAGGAAGAGACAAAAAATCTGCTAGCAGGATTAGATATGTATGTATGGATAAATGGATAGATGGACCCAAAACTGTTGCCCCACTTCTGGGACGGATCATTTGGGCAACAGAAGTAAGGCGAGGAGGCGCTTCAGTTTAAAGGCCAGACAGAGCACCAGAGTCTGGCAGAGGCGTCGGGCCAGAACCATCTCTGGAGCAACAGGAGAATGAATGATTTTTACAGTCCTTCTTAGTGCCAAATCAAAACTACTTTTTTTAAATCCACCCACAAACCTCTACAGAGCATTTCTTATTTTATTCCGAAAAGACCGCTCCATTGAGCTCTTTCACCTTATATTCACAACCACATTTAGTCCCTGGGTGGTTGACGTGAGAGTCAATGAGTAATGAAAAGAGTTCAGATTTCTTTAATCCATCATATCAATCTGCTTGACCCTCAATGGGTAGAGCCAACACAAAATTAAATTGATCAATTTTGAAAACAGGCAATCAAACTAGGTTAAGTTTCATAATGGACCCATTTCAAATAAAACGAAGTAGTGAATCTAAAGCAACCAAATGGCTTTATTTCTATTCTGATGAGATGGACAATATCTTCTAACCCTAGGCTTTAAGCAAGTGTTGCTGCAGAAAAATGTATGTGATGCACCTTTACACGCTAGAGGCGACAGTGGCATTGGATGAAGGCATTTTTTCAAGCCCGGTTCAAGCCAGGCACTTCTCCCACATTGCCTACCTCTGGTGGTCAGAAGGACTGGTGGCGCCAGTGAACGATGGCCTCGCTTCTGTCAGTGAGCCCCAGGGCAGGTGTGGCTACAAGGTAGCTTGCCACCATCAGTGTGTGCATGAATGACAGAATGTAGTGTAAGGTGTCAAGTCTTTTGACTTGAAAAAGCGCTATATAAACACAGGGCATTTACCATTTTTACCAGGCAAAAAAGTGCCACTTCACCTCAGAGCGTTAAAATGGTTAAAATTATGGCTAAAAAATCACTAATCAAAAGACAACTGCAGGTTAACAAAGTATATTGATGTTTTCAATAATAAAGACCTCTACAAAACCTTCCAGGCCTCTTGTTTGCAGAACGGCTGACCTACCACTTAAGCTAGCCAGGCACCATAAACCCCTCCTCCAAACTGCACACTACATAAACCGGTAAACTACAAATGGCGACAGCATTTTATATGACAGTGGTTTGGATTTCACCCCGAGGATGTCCGACAAAACGCTCGTCAGCATCACCCCGCACACCAATTAAAACATTAAATCAGCTGTGAAGCAGATGACATTGCCCTCGTCGTTTGAAAAAGCAACCTGACATGAGTGAAAAAGTAAGAGATGGAGGGAAATTACAAATGCAGACTTAAATGTTACAGATTTAAATGTTTTTTTAGATTATCTAATACCCTGTGATGTGCTCTTGATCAGAGGTTTTGCAGGCATTTTCTGAACTTGGCAAAGTTATCAATTTTACACATTTTTGTGGTTCTTTAAAATTCCAAGCACGTAAAGATCAATACAAATAGTTTGGAGGTGCTCTAATAATGCTCTAATTTTTGGACAGTGTTCTGATTTTTGTTTTTGTAATTTGAGGTCAATTTTTTTTTCTACTCCTATTTTTTTTTTCTACTATGCGCAAAATAGCCCTTTTTAAATTTGCATTTTATCAAATATTGTGCGTTTTTGTTTTGTTTCCTGTTAGGTTGATGGGATCTTGTTAAAGGTCTATAATACTGACAACGAAAGACATATTGTGACAATATTTGTGTAAAGCTTTGAGCTGGTTAATTTTGTTTTGTTTTTTTATTTGAAACCAAAACATATCTGTGTTAGTTTGAATGAGTATATCAGTGGAAATTTATGCACTCTATTTTTTTTAAGGTAATTTAAATATATAGTGAAATATATTGTGCATGGTGACTATAGCCCAAATGTATCATATTCGATTTTTTTTTATATCGCCCAGGCCTACCTTGCAGATCTTTTTTTTTTCCCTTTCTCCCATGATGTTAAATATCACAATGGTACAGAAGGAGAAAATGACAGATTGGGAAGCAATAAAGGAAATTTGTCGGACCAAAATCTTACCATGCGACCAGGCCTATGAATACATTCGGGCATAACTCTGTAAATCCAGCTTCTCTATATCCCGTGTCTGCCGTTTCAAAAAAGGGCACATAAATAGAGTAAGAAATAATGCTGATCTTGTAATAAAAATGTTTTAACTGATCCCGGTTACAGCTGCTTTGATTCTGCCACATAGATGGGATCATGCAAAGATACCGGGTTTGTGAATGTACTCTGCTTTAAGATTATGTTTTCAGCTTATTTTTATTTATTAAAGCGGAGACATAAATAGAGCAGGAAATAATGCTTATCTGGTAATAAAACACAAACATTACAATGAATCGCGTTTCAACCCCACCTCGCAGCTACCCTACGTAAAATTGCACACTACAACTGATACACTTTATTATAGCCATTTTGTCATAGTTAGACATAGCATCTTGTATTCAGGAAAAAATAAATCTAATTATCTATTCAGTTTATTGATATCCTGGTGCCTACAATGGCAAATTTTGATGAAACAGTAAAATTTTATTTAAAAAACTTTTTATATACAGAAATAGAGATACATGGAAATCAGAACTTTGATTTGACCAGATTCCTTTTAATTAGAAAAAAGAAACAAAAACTTTTTTTGCATTTTTTGGCCATTTTGGTACATCTGTTCCAAAATCACATGTCCTGTTGCCACACCGTCTATTAAAACCCTTGTGGAGCAAACTTCAACCAATTCAGTCCAAATGGGCTGCAGTTATAGTCAAAATGTGGTTCTATATAGTGTGAGGGTTCATCCTGAGTTTCAAAGGTGTTTTGATGTTTTTTTTGCAGTGTTTATTTAAAAAAAAAAAAAAATGGCAAAGCTCTTTTGATTTAACCTGTTTGATAACATATCAATCAGAAATCATGACATATACAATAGTGGCTCCACCTGAAAAAAATTCTTCAAAGGCTTATCAGTCATACAAATTATTTATGTTACATTTCCACTATCATTTTAGGAATATGCTCCTAAAACCCTCTGTGGTTAAGGGGTTGAATGGCTGGAGTTGGATCTTTCAGATAACTTTGTTTGTAAGGTTATTATGAGTACCCGCTGTGATATGTTAGTGCTTTTATTAACAGTCAGTGTGAGAATCAAGAGTACATGCTTAGAAAAGTTTCAATCTATAAGATCCTTGAAGGTATAAATCATCCTATTTCCAATTCAAACTACCTTTTAAAGTGAATTCACTTTAGAAGACTGCAACTTCTAAGAAAGATACATAGTAATAATAGACTAATATGTTGATTTTAAACTTATAATGCAAAGTCTTCCATAGGTTATTGTCTGTAATATCTGCAAGCTTTAAGATGCCACATGATTTCCTCCTCCTATATTTGTGAGGAAAGCTGTTCTGCAAGTTAGACAGGTAAATAGACCCCAGAGTAATCAGCAATACTCAGCTGTAAAACTGAAGGCAGTTTAATAAAGTTTTGTATGTTTACTCTTAAAAAAAAAAAAAAAAAGAAACAAGGAAGTCTTGTCTACTCTAGTTATGTTTCCCATTTTATTTCCTACCAGCACAGCCTAAATCCAAACCCTCTGAGTGATGGAGGACAAATGCCTTCTTTTCCCAGATTCAAGTATTAATATCAAATAAAAACAGAAATCTAACTGATAAAATGATAAAACATCGAGAAATAAACAAATAAAAAAATTCCCAAATTTTAATGGACATGAGTTATAAAGGCTTAATTTCTCTTCAATGGGATAAAGAAGTTATAAATGACTTTCTGGTTACATTATTGGTGTTTAAAACTATCAGTTTTAACGCTATAAGAGTTCATTCATTGGAGGAATCCGACAGGAACTTCGTGTACAGTTCCTCTGATATTTGCGCATCCCATGGCTCAGGTGGCAGCTTGGTGTTGATTTACACTTTCCTTTTCCCTTTGGTGTCCTCAGTCTACTTGATTTTAAACTATAGAGGTGTTCAGGTGGCGTGGAGTCCTTACCTGGGCCGTCTGATCCTGATAGGGGTGAATTCATCTTGGGTCGCTTTGCAGTGGGGGGTCCCGCATCCAGAAGATTGTCAGCCATCCTGCTCGGTGAAAATTATCAACGAGCGGTGATGCCGGAAAAAAATAATAGTGGGGTCAACCCAGGCTTTGAGTCGTTTTTTTTTTTTTTCCAATGTTGCGTGCGAAGAAGCGTCCTTAGTAGTTTATTTTCTTTTAACTGGCAGAGCGGTGAAATGTTGCCCGGAGAAGACGATATTCAAAAGAAGGGCAACAGCGCCACGCTTCGCCACCGAAGATCACCCCATGATAATCCAACACCCAACACCCACATAATTATCCCCAATTTACTGCGTCCACGAAATATTTCAGTGCGAGAAAAATAAATAAAAAACAATTATAAAATATAACAAAGCGAACAGGCAAATCCCATCGCTCGAAGATGCTCGGTTTCCCCTATGTGGAGAATCATTTTTTTACGGTCAAAAGAAGCGGCGATAAAATCCGATTTTTGCTAAATAAAAAAGAGAAAAATTCAGAAAATATTTTCTATGAGACGGATATTTTTTCTCGTCGCTGTCTGTCGGGTAAATACAACGTTCCCTGGACGGAGATACGGCGACAACCAGCGGCGCTCTCCGAAAGGGAAATCAAATATACAGTGGCCTTTCGAGACGATTAAAAACCCCGCAAGCCTCGCATGTTTGGGCTCATTCTCTGCGGAAGAACCAACTCTTCGGTTATCGGCCGTAAAAATCCCGTTTCAGCCGTGTCTGGGTGGCTCCGGTCGGTTTTAAAATTTGTGCTCCCCCGAAATCCCGACTCCGAGCCGCGTCAAGATGGCGGCTGTTGATTCCTCCGATACAAAAAAAAAAAAAAAAGTTTTTTTTTTTTTAAGGTGGGAGGAGGGGGTAGTGCTCTGACGCCCTGACGTAAACCTGTGTCCCACCGTGCGTCATGTGAACGTATGAGAAGTTACCTTAAGGCGTGTAATAAATTAAAGGTGTTCAGTTTTTTATAAAACTTTACACATATGTCAACTAAATGCAGTGAAAAAATAAACGAAATCACCAACAAAGCAAAAAGGGACATTTAAACTAGCATCAAGGTGAAGGCTACAGTTAATCAGGCTTGCCAATAATTTTTACTTTACATCCTCAGACCTCCAGATATACCGTAGGGATCAGGTTAAATACCAAAAATAAAAAGTTTTGTTCCATATATGACAAATACATGTCATACATGTAAATGTACAGAAGAGGACTAGAGCCACTGAAATTTTTTTAAAAAGTTAACTGATTTTTACATTTTATTTCAGTATATGACAAAAAAAGTTAGAATTCTGACTTTTTTCTAAGAATTCTGAATTTTTATCTAAGAATTTTGACTTTAATCTCAGAATTCTGACCTTAATATCACAATTCTGACTGTTGTCTGACAGCTAACAAACATGTTAGCAGGGCCCTCCCAAACAACTCACATCTTTGTCAGTGAAGCGGAGTGCTCCCACATCTCTTCCTTCATGGTGCCCATCTACATTAAGATCCACAATTCTGAGATTAAAGTGAGAATTCTGAGATTAAAGTCAGAGTTCTAAGAAAAAAGGTCAGAATTTTGAGTTTAAAGTTAGAATTCTGAGAAAAAGGTCAGAATTCTGAGATTAAAGTGAGAATTCTGAGATTAAAGTCATAGAGCTGAGATTAAAGTCAAAATTCTGAGAAAAAGATCAGAATTCTGGAAAAAAAAAGGTCAGAATTCTGCCTTTTTTCCCATTTTAAACTGAAATAAAATTTAAAAATTGGTCAGCTTTTTCAATTTTTTCAGTCCTCTTCCCTAATCCTCTTCCGTAGATATGCACCATTTTACTATGCCCCTAAAAATCCAGGAAACTCAATTGCTTCTAGTAGGCAAAAGGATGACCAAACTGGTAAAGTACACAGGGCAACAACTTGGTATGATAATGTTCTCGGACTCAGAGGTGTATAAGAGAATGTTATTAAACAAACAGCATCCTGAAGACACCAGATAGCCCAGATAGAATGTTTAAATGAGCCAGTTCACATATTTTAAACTGATATAACAGGCTAGGTAATGTGAGCATAGACAGGGAAGAGTCCCATAGAATTTCTGCATATATCCACATTTCTGTTTGAAAAATCTGTTGACCACATCGCTGTTGTGCACGACAATAAATGGACCAAATAACAGTATGGGAGTGTTGGCCTAGTGGTTAGAGCAGTGCTGTTGTGCTTTGAGAAGGTTGCAAGTACCTGGTTTGATCCCCACAGCCTCCACTCTGGCTCCCTGAGCAAGACCCTTAACCCCCCACACTGATCCCCTGGCGCCACACAATGGCAGCCCACTGCTCACCAAGTGGATGGGTTAAATGCAGAAATAAAGTTCTCCAGTGTGAGATCAATAAAAGGTCAATTATTAATATTATTATTGAATAAAGTATTGTTGAAAGATAGAAATCAAATGTCCAGTTTGATGTTTGACACAGGCTGTGCAGCAGAGACAGTAAACATGTAGAAAATGATGTATTGGTTAGATTAACCCATGTTGAACTCGCTACTCACACCACCCTTACCTTCAAGCAGTATGTGACATACATTTTAATTATAGCTTCATAATAAAAAGAGAAAAAAAATGGAAAGCAAAATCTGAAGGTCTGCCTTACTACGTAAGTTGATGTAATGCTCAGGCTGTAAATTCAATCATTCTCTTTCATTTTCAGCAAGTGACTTTTATTCAAACTACCACTTTACTAGCGTGCTTTTTACAAAACATAACTGAAACAAAACACAAGTTACTGTAGGAGAGAAATAGTAATCTACTCCACTTGAGCTCATCCGCAATCTTAGCTGAGCTCATTATAAATGTACACTCTTGAGAAAAAAAAAATTGGACTTCTTTTAGAGATACTAGTGGAACTTTTATAAATGCATGCAAACAAAACACACATTTTTCAACGTTGTTTAAGTTTTCCCACTTCTAAACTATTTAATACCCAATTACATGCCCTTATATAAATAATATAAAATGCTTTACAGTAGAAAGGCAAAATGTACATCAGAAATGAGAGCTTTGTGCAATTGCAATTTGACAGTTTGTGTTTTTTGTTTGGGGGGTGGGGGCAGGTTTGGGGCAACCATAAAACAGAGAGCACACAGAGAAATTGCATGAGATGGGAATGACACTCTTTGGCATCAACAGTTTTTCCAGTTTGCTTTTCTGCTGGTTCAGAGTTACACTAACATCCACATTAATCCAGCTCAATCAAAGCACTGTATGCTCATGTGTTTGCAGGTAAAACAAAGCAGCCAGAAATTAGAAACAAATGTACATAAATGTCTGTTCCCACAAATATTCAAGAGTTCAAAAACACTCAGTTTTACCCCAAAATAAAGACATGTCAAGTTTATGTTTTTCGCATTGCATCCTAACGTCTACCACCACTTAACTGTATAGTAATGAGTGTGTTTGTTTTTTCCCTTTTTGTAGTGTTGCACACGTATTAAGCTACAGGGGTTGTGTGCTCATGAGCAAAGAAAGTGTTTCCCTTTAGTTCTCCGTTTTCACACTCAAACTAAACCAACTCCATTTGACACGCAATACCATACCACAATGGAAAAGAATAGTTATTTTAATTGTGTACCATCACTTTTATTCATGCATCGAGAAAAGGCACTGAGGATGTTAGAAAACTATCAAAATAAAATTTGATTTAAGAATATTTGTATATATTTTGCAATCATTCAAACCCTTTAAAGTAAAATTGAAACAAGTTTAAACACAACCCAAATATCAGATATATAATGCATTTAAAAAAAAAGAAGAAATACTAACAGAAATGGCTATCAGAAGCAGTTTTTAGATAAGGCAAATTGCTAAATGATTTTTTAAAACTAAATTACAAGTTTATAATATGAAATGGCAGTTTCAATATCCAAACATTTGTGATCCATTGTGTTTTTTTCCTGATTTAAGACTTGCAAAACAATTGGACTTGTTTTGCTCTTGAGCACACAATCCGTTTGAGCACACACAACCCGTTTTAAGTTACGATGAGAGAAAATGCACTGTAGGCTAATTCAATGTTGTAGCATGGTAGAGAAAAAAAAGCTTTAAAAACACCTAGAACCATGAAATACATTTGAGACACTTTTGCAATTACAGTGCTAGCACATTAAGTTTCATGCCACTAAAGGTTTGAAGCAGCTAAAGCGTCAAGCTGTTTGCATCCAGTAATGTCTTTGAGATCCTGGAGAGTTAAGCATCTTAGATGAACAGCTTAAGTTTCATGTAACAACACAAACACATTTGTGACATTCCACATTGATTATCCTCGTCTTGAGAGAACTAAGACTACTTTAACACAGTGTAATGCAATCCAACCCCTTAGGCAGTTTTTTTCTTCATTTTTTTCTGCTTTTAGATCATCTTAAATCTTAAAACCATTTAGTTATTTCAGCTTCTTGTAAAACACCAAACACATCTTGAGCTCCTACAATGGTCTAAAATGTGGGCCAGGGAGAACTAGTAGAAGCCTTACTATAATGCAAGCATGCCAATTAAGTATAGCTGAAGAAATAATTGTATAGTTTTCTGGAAAAATAAAGATCTTAACAAACTAGCTGGAAATGTAATAATTCGAGTAACTCTAGGGGAGTTTAACTGTTGCCCTGAACACATTATAGAATAAAAGACACGCAACACTTAATGCGTACGATACGCTCAATCAGCGAGGCCTCGTCCGGCAGTGCCCTGTACCAGTAGTCCTGAAACTCACGGGAACTTTTCTGGGTTTAACACACAACTTGAAGCAATTATTGTGCAGTTTTACCCCCCCAGAGACCCCCCCAAAGCTCTTGTCTAAAACCTAAAGAAAAACCAAAAGAAACAAAAGTAACAAAAAAAATAATCAATAACAATGTCACTTTAAAAGAAATATAAACAAAAGTAGAAACAAAAGTAAAAACGTCAAAAAAGAACACAAAAGGAAACACAGAAAAAATGAAAAATAAAAAAAACAAACGAAAAAAAAGAAAGCAATCGAAAAAAACAAAATAAACCCAAACACAAGGAAAATCCAAAAATGAGAACAAGAACAAGACAGTGCTGTCCATGTCCATGCTGACGAACACCAACATCACCATGACGAAGCTGAAGTAGCATTAGTGACAAACACAAACAACAATAAGAACATGCCCATTGGACCTCAACGTAAGTTTGTTCCTAGTTCATCAAGTCTAGAATAAACATTTGGACTAAGAACAACGCCTCAACAAATCGAGAGATTGACCACGGAAAACCTTAAAAAGGCCATTGTTAATTCTGTTTCTGTTTTCAGGCTAAACAACATCCATGTTACTATCAGGTTATTTCTGATCTCTGTTAATGCAGCCAGCAACTTGCCTTATCAACTTTCACTTTAAGTCCTGCAAGATTTTAGGTCAACTTTTGGCCTTTGTATCTCATAATAAAAATGATTCCAACCTCTGAAAATCTGTATACGCCTGGAAAACAATGCAAGATATGATTATCCGTGTTACTACATTAAGGACATTGACTATTTTATGATGGCTGCTGTAAGCACCAGCAACGACCGCTTTGGAGTTTATACAAAACACAATAGCTCCTGTGCTCTTCCAGGTTGCACAGTTCAAAAATGATCCTGGGGGATTAATATCCTAGTAGTACGTATGCATAATTATTCCTAGCAACTCAGACATTGTTGTTCTGATAAAACAGAACCAATATTGTGAAGATGTGGACAATGTCTAATAATAAAGCAATGCAGTCCATAGATGCATACATTGTCACTTTGAGATTTACAACATTAGGTCCGTCTGACTGTTAGCATTCATTGTCTCCATTGCGGCAAAACAGAATCACACCTTAAAAAAAAAATCCAAATTGTCCCCTTATATGAATTCTCACATCATTGATTTCCTTCTTGAAAGAAAGGCAAAGCATGTACTTGCAAAATATAGCTCATTAAAAGCAACAAAAATAGCAAAAGCAAAGCTATATTCCAAGAAATTCAGCTTGTAAAGTTTTCCCTTTTAGTTATCAAGTTAAAAAAAGGCCTTGTTTAAATCTTATTCTATTCTAAAGGCACTTAAAAGACATCTGACAGAAACAATCAAGATTAAAGGTGCAAAGATAATCAAGTAAGTTAATGGTAGACAATGGGGTTGTTAGGAGGCAATTTTCAATTTTCTCTGAATATCTGCCTGACACCCTACATGTGGTCCACCAAGCACCCTTACCCAGATCAGCTAATCACATTTACACTATAAACAACCTTTTTTTTGGCTGACAAATAACCTGGCCTGTTTGTACCATCCAGACTCCTGTGTCAGTCCAAATCCTCCCTCTCTACCTGAAGTTCTCTACCTGAAGTTGGACTTATGTATAGCTTCTACACATGCCAGCCAGCAGTAATGAGACCTTAAAGGGAAGAAGGTTGGTTAGAAAAGTGCCATTGCAGCAAACGCTTAAAGCCTGGTTAAATCTCCAGCATTCATGTCACATTTATTCTTTTGTTTGTCTTTTGCGTCTTTGCTTGGTGAGTGTTGAGGTGCATGTGGCTGGATTGAGGACGAGACTTTGAGCTGCTTGGTATTTGGCGAGTATCCCTCCAGAGAAGTTACAGGTATCGATGTTAAGCCACTGTGTGACATGGACCTTCTGGCACAAGAAGCGGCTGTCGGGGGATGTCTTTCATGGATGTCTGAGTCTTTCATTTGACTGAGTCCTGATGTGTTTGAGGAACCAGTGCTGGCACTGGGGACCATCATTTTGGTGCTGTTTGCATTCTTGCTGGTGGTTGGCACCATGTTTGCGATCTCGTCAGTTGGAGACCGCCCGATGCTACCGTCCACCTGTGCTCGGATCTCTGGTGAAACTGAGAGCTGGTACTGAGGCACAGGGCCACTGTCGCTGCTCTTAGGATAAAGAAATGTCTTCATCTGACCTTTGCCTTTGACGTTAACCGTCCCTCGATAATCAAACTCGTAATCCATGCCACTGAGCACGCAGTAGCTTTCTTCGCTGACCTGAACGCGGCACTCCACGCCCGTCGTGTCCATGCGGCTGGCAATGTTGACCGTGTCCCCCCAGATGTCATAGAGAAGCTTGGTGGTACCAATCACACCTGCTGTCAGGGGCCCGTGATTAAAGCCAATCCGAAGCTTAAAACCAAAGCCAAGCATGTTCTTGTTGAAGTCGTCCACCACTCGCATCATTTCAAGGGCAAAATCGAAAAGAGCGCGAAGGTGAGCATGAGGATGAGCTGCATCCGCGCACTGCTGTGTGTTGAGTCCAGCAGCAGCCATGTAGGTTGCACCAATGGTCTTGATCTTTTCAATGTTGGCAAAGGCAGGCTTGCGTAAAAGCTCATCAAAGTCACCGATTAACTCATTGAGAACACGATAGCACTCTTTACCTCCCTCGTAGCTTTCTTCGTAAAACTCGCTGAAGTTCACAATACTGGCAAATATGACCCCCACATTGTCGTGGTTCTTGGAATAACTCTGGGTGACCTTAAGTTGCTCGGCAACATGGATTGGGATTATATTTCGAAGCAGCCAGTCGGCTTGGTCCCTCATGTTCTGAATCTTGATGCGGTGCTGATCAGCTTCTACATTGCCATGGTAGTGCAAGCGGTAGCTAACCTCGAATTCATGGTTAAGGAACCAGACAAGGAGAAGCAGCAGGAAGAAGGCCACACAGGCTTCAGGTATAAGACGTTTGTGAGGATCGGAGTCGGGTTGTTGAACAGAACTTGAGTTGTCGGACAAGAAAACTGAGCTGTTTGTGATGTTGCTTTGCACATACGGCCTAGTGAAAAGAAAAAGAATAAAATGTTAAGATATGGCAAAACAAAACATATAATAAACATGCAACAGTAGCAGAATGAGAGTATTGGATTTTCACATTTCCTATACAAATGATAAATTTGGGTACTTTGTAGGGATTCCCAAAATGAAACTTACAATGCCATTTAATATTGGCATAGATTTTGTATGTTCTGTATTTAGCTTTGTCAAAGGGCCAACAAGAAAAACCTCAACAGCTCTAAAATAAATAATACAGTGCTATGTAGAAGAGTTGTTTTTCTGAAAGAAACGTTAAGGTAGGTCACATAAAATATTATACGTCAATAAGATTTTCGTTATACACTTTAATAGGACCCAGCAAGTCTAAGGTGCAATCTACTGACATAGAAGAATTTGTGTAAAATCAAGCTGCAAAAAATGGGTATCAAGAAGATAATGCAACATAAAGAAGTTGACTCTCAGTTAAATAAGTGCAGTACATTTTAGTGGGTTGCAAAGTGTAAAAAAACACAAAAAAAAAACACTATATAGCCCTTCACGTGTTTTTTCTGGTGATAAAAAGTTAAAAAGAGGGTAAAATGCTTATTTCAACATGGTTAGGCCCACTTTGAGGATGACAGTTGGGGGTTGGATGTCACAGGAAGTCGTTCTAAGCTGACAGGCTACCAATGAGATCCTTTAAAGATTGTGATTTCATAAAGTCAATATTCATCAGTTTGATTTGCTTATGGTTTTTGCTGATTTCTAACAGCTATAGTACTGAAAGCTTCCTTTTGACCTTTAAAGAAAATTAGAGCATATAATTGTCTCTGCCATGACATATTACTGTACTTCAACTATCAGTATGCCAGTAAAATTTGAAAAGAAAAAAAAAAAAGATCAATTAAACAAAAACTGATCAAGTCATAGTTTTAGAATTGCAACCAAATAGGTCACAGCCTGGACCAATAATGAAGCATAGCAGTATAAACATATGAAATAAGTAAGGTTATAATTATGTTTAATAAAGTATAACTAATAATATGTAAATGCATGCATATGCAGCTCCAACTCAAAGGCATCTTTTTGAAGTATGAAAAACAACTTTACAAATTCACTTTAAGTTTTTTGAGCAACACAAAATGTGACATTTCCCATGATTTTTTTATTTTTTAGTTTTCTCCTACCTGCAGGGGGGGCAGCAGAGCAGAGAAAGCATTGCCAGCCCCACCAGTGTGGCTATTGTGGACCGCATCCAGTAGCTGAGATGGCAGAAGTTACAGTACTGTATGATGGCGATAATGATCGCACAGCAGATGAACATAGTAAACTGGGGAGAAAAATACATCAAATTAAACTGAAGGAAAGATACTTTTTTTTCTGCCTTTAAATTGGATAGTAATAAAAACAGTGTTAGCATATACATTGCCTTGCGAAAGTATTCGGCCCCCTTGACCTTTTGGACTTTTTGCCACATTTCAGGCTTAAAACATAAAGATAAAGTATTTTGTGAAGAATCACCAAGTGGGACACAATCACGAAGTGGAACAAAACGTAATGGATATTTTAAACTTTTTTAACAAAATGATTCAACCCCTTTGAGTTAATACTTTGTAGTGCCCCCTTATGCTGCAATTACAGCAAGTTCTTTCTATAGATCTTCGATTAGGTTCAGGTCTGGACTTTGACTTGGCCATTCTAACACCTAGATATGTTTATTTGTGAACCATTCCATTGTAGATTTTGCTTTATGTTTTGGATCATTGTCTCATTGCAGCATAAATTCCCATCATATCCAGTCTCCAGTCTCAGGCCTTTTGCAGACTACAACAGGTTTTCTTCCAGAATAGTCCTGTATTTAGCCCCATCCATCCTCCCATCAATTTTAAACATCATCTGGGTCCCTGCTGGAAAAAATACCGGCTCAAGCCATGATGCTGCAACCCACATGTTTGACAGTGGGGATGGTGTGTTTCTTTTATGCCAAACATAACATTTTGCATTGCTGCCAAAAAGTTTGATTTTGGTTTCATCTGACCAGAGAACAGTCTCCCACATGTTTGCTGTGTCTCCCTGGTGGCTTGTCGCAAACTTTAAACAAGACTTTTTATGGATATCTTTAAGAAATGGCTTTCTTCTTTCCACCCTTCCATAAAGGCCAGATTTGTGACGTATACGAGAGATTGTTGTCCTATGTGCAGATTCTCCCACCTCAGCTGTAGATCTCTGCAGTTGATCCACAGTGATCAAGGGCCTCTTGGCTGCATCTCTGATCAGTCTTCTCCTTGTCTGAGCTGAGCGTTTAGAGGGACGACAGGTCTTCATAGATTTGCATTGATCTAATACTCCTTCCATTTCTATACTATCACTTGCACAGTGCTCATTAGGATGTTTAAAACTTGGGAAATGTTTTAGTATCCAAATCCAGCTTTAAACTTCTTCACATCTCGGAGCTGCCTGGTGTGTTCCTTGTTCTATGATGCTCTCTGTGCTTTAAACGGACCTCTGAGACTATCACAGAGCAGGTGCATTTATATGGAGACTTGATTACACACAGGTGGATTCAATTTATAATCATCAGCCATTCAGGTCAACATTGGATCATTCAGAGATCCTCACTGTACTTCTCGAGAGAGTTTGCTGCACTGAAGATAAAGGGGCCGATTAATTTTACATACCCCACTCTTCAGTTTTTTATTTAATAAAAAAAGGGGGGCAAAAGATCAAAAAGTTCAAGGGGGGCAAATACTTTTGAAAGACACTACTTAGTATATATAGAGTTTTAGTTATACAATTAAGCTTGAGCTGGGTACCAGAATCCAGTGATACCTAAGCTTTAAAGGGTTACAGTTTAAAAGCTGAGGACCATATCGTCCTCCACCTGTTGCTTAAGCCTGGTAGACACAAGACTTGGGACAAGGGTGACTTTTTTTTTTTTAATCCTCTCTGCTGTACTCATGTCTTCTTTTTTTGCTTTTTCTCTCATTTTTTCCCCCTTTCTTCTATATACAGAGGCAACATTCACATCTCCTGTTTCTAAGCAAAATATCAGATTGAGCTCATGAGATGATGCATTTATCCACTTGCAGCGACGGTGGGGAGTGCCAGGTCCAGAGTGCCAATGATGCTGAATTTTAATTGGTAGAAAAAAAAAGTCGACCACAGTCTGAAGGGACCAGATTGGTCAAACTTTAATGAGCCGATGCACTAATATGTGTTGGCAAGATAAACAATGCAAATTATTCAATTAAATTATTCAATTAAATACTAAGCATGTAACAATTTTTCAGGATATCAGCCCTGAAAAACGCTGGTATTATTGGTAAACTTTTGTATTTTTACTCAAAGCCATCTTAAAATGAAAATATTTCACACAAGCCTAATCAAGAAAAAAATGCGCTGCAAGACCATGCACAAGCCCATTTCTCCTCATGCATGCCCAGTTTAAAATGTGCTGTTCTCACAGCTCATACAAGCTTACTGTATCCACATACAGCATACACTTCGTAGACACTTTTTCTCTTACGACCCTTGGCCATTTTCAAAGAACCGCAGAGAGAAAGGTGAGCTGCCATGACTGGCGGAAAATGTAGCTCATCACAGATATACGCCTGAAAGTGCGCATGCACAGAAAAAGATAGCTAACAGGGAACGAGCACAAAGTACGGCCTTACGTAAACATATCACCAGAATGATTGCTAATTAGGAGGACCACTTATTTAGATGATCCACCCGGAAATAAAAGATTGTCCTCTATACCTTTAATTTAGAATGATATGAAAAAGTTAGGAAAATTGAATTCTACCTGGATTGAGTTATACATGTCACAGGTGAAATGGGGGAAAACTGCAAGGACAGGCAGTGATACTAGAACAGCGCCGACAAAGTGGCGAAGTATCCAGCCAGAGACGGCCCTCATCAACACCCGAGTGCAGCTCAGCACACTGTCCAGATAGAAGGCCATACTGAAGAGGGAAAAGAAAGGGAAAGAGAACTGATAAATAACTGATGGCTGGAATACAGAATGCATGTTGGCATAGTTGTTAGCAGAAGAGCCTCACTAAAACAGGGTGCTGGGTTTTGCCATGAGTTAGCATCTATTTGCTGTGTAGTCTGTTTTCCAGATGTTCTGATTTTCTCCCATAGTCAGAAAAAACACAACTGTGATTGGTTCATAAATAGTATTTCAAAGTCAGTAAGCTGGTTTGTGTATCCTGTTTGTCTTCCAGTCGCCCAGTGATGCACTGTAAGCGTGACAGTAGTACAACCAGCCTCTCCTCCAAAAACTGCTAGACATAAGCTGCAAAACAATGAACTAAATAAGTCATGTTTCACTAAAATAAAAATATTTTTGTCTTGAATTGAGGAGGTGAGACACTTTGCCAATAGATCAAGACAACTGACATTTTAATTAAGACTAAGCAACTGCATTGTTTTATAACAAGCGCATTATATCTAATTATCTTATTTTAAGAGTAAAAATACAAATTTAATTGGCAAATCATCAATTAAGGGTAAATATACTTTATTTAAGAAATTTTTACTTATTACTAGATCGTTTTTGTAGGCATTGGTTATTTGTATTTGTATATGCCACAAGACCAGCATCAATAGAATAATTTTCTTTATTTCTAACTCATTATCATAAGTTTCATAATAATGCTATTTAAGAACGGCATTCCTTGGGAGACTAGATTATTATGAGTGGGTGGACTTATTGCATGGGAGGTAAGGGACCTCCATGCAAGACCTCCCATCAAGTGTCAGGAGGAACTTATTTTAAGGCTTTGTTTTTTTTAAACATTAATTTCTAGGTTGCAAGTGCTTTAATTGCATTCTTGCATTTATATTAATAACTAATTCTTCAAAACAAATAACCTAACCATTCTGTATGTTTCTTAAATGTTCTAAGGAGATTCACAGTGTACATTCTACAGAGGCAATCACATCCCTTCAGTCAGTTTTGCCATTTATAAATTAATTAAGTAAGCTCCAATATTTGCAGAATATTTCTGCATCAATATTGTCTTACATCAATGGAAATACAAAGCTTTATATCGCTGCACCTGTTAATTTGTCCTTTCAGTATCTAAATGCAACCCACAGCCTCACGGTTGAACACCTCTGATATGCATTTAGTATCTCACCGAATAGCAAACAGTAGAGCAACAGCCTCCAAGAGGGCGGCTACAGATGTCAAAATGAGAGCTGGCGTTGATGGACTCTGATGGGTAACCAGAGGTCTCAGGAAACAGGCAAGAGAGAGCGCCAGAACAACCAAACAGCACAGCAGCATATCCAGGAAGGAACTGAAAGTCGGGCTGGCAAATGTCTGAACTGCTGCTTGGTTCTCCACCTGTGAGGGAAAAACAATTCATACAGAATAATCAACAAAGGTTCCCACATTTGACACAAACAGCTGAACTCATGCAATCATAACCACACTTATAAAGTGAAACCAGTAGAGGGCGTGATAGCCCAGCTCATAACAAATTTCAAGGTCCTGCAGTCATTTCTCTTTGCCGCAGTCTGACCAGTCTGGTGATAATGTGGTGCTAACAGGCTTGTCAGACCAGATTCTGGTAGGGAAAAACTCCAACAGGTAAACACACACAAATGTAACCTAATAGCATCCTAAACTTAAAAAACAGCAAAAAAGGGTTATAGCATATTATGAAAAAAGAATCTACTTTAGAATCAGCAGGAGATTCTTGTAAACAAAGAAACAAAGGGTAAAAACAGCATTTTGCAGCAGAAGAACACAGCACTCACAAAATTAATTAAATGCATTTCTCACTTTCAGTCAAATTTAGGCAGATAGAGCATTACATCATATAAACACACCTCCTCCTGGTAGCTGCTTCGGTAGGCCGACTCCAGGCTCCTCTCCAGGAAAGTGAGGCTCAGCTTGTGTAAGGGAGGGTTGTAGAAATAGTCCTTCATAAGACTGTTAGAGTTGCAGAGAAAAAATATGAAGGAAAAGAAAATATGAAGAATAAAAAAATATGTACAATTCTGACTAAAATATGAGCATTTTTTATTGTTTTACATTTTGCCATAAAGACACCTAAAAACTGTTATTTCATTTTTAATGGAGATTGTGTTTGAATGAAAAAATATTGAAATTGTGGGTGAAATTATGAGTATTCAAAGTAATTTTACTGTGATCCCCTGGATTAAAATCTACAGAGCAGTAAGTAGAGTCAGTCAGTAGGGTTAGGTTATAAACGGTGCTTTAAGTGGGCCTGTGTGCAACAGTGCACACTACTAATCGCTTTTAAATTTTACTATTCAGCACACCGGGATTCTTCTCCAGCTATGGCACAAACTGGGACTACCCACATTCCCCATCCTGCCAGACCTCCATAAATGAACGCTTTTAGCTAATTTATTGATATTTTTTTAGATTTACACCCAGAGAAACACATAGCTTTGAAGCAAATTACTTCCTGTACATTCACACAGCAAAAATGATCTAATAATAAGTAAACATTTCTTAAATCAAGTGTATATACTCTTGATCTAAGTAGGTAAATAAGATGATTTGCAAATAGAATGAGTAATTTTACTCTTGAAATAAAATTAGATATTATACCCCTGAAATAAAAAAAATGCAACTGTTTTTTTCTTTTTTTAAAATGTAAATTGTCTCGTTCCATTGGCATACTGTCTCAATTACCTCCTCAATGCACTTATTTTAAGAAAAAAATTCTTATTTAGATTAAAATTTTTTGCAGCGCATGCTTTAGGCGATTCAGATGATCGTCTAAAGCGATCTGAGGTTTACCTCCTCCAAAAGGGCTCCAATGAATGGGATCAGAGGTGATTAATCACAGCAGTACTCTTTACTAGAAGGAAGAGAAGCTCAAACTTCACAAGCAGCATTAGCCAATGGGGAAGACTGACTAAATGCTCGAGACACATTTAAGCTAAAAGGTGAGATCAGGAGCGGCGCTATCCATTTAGAGGCACGTGCCACAAGTACTGTGTGGCCTGTAGTGTATCTTTACTCAGTACTTAGTTACACTGGGCTCATCAAAACAAATACACTATGGGACAGACTGGAGAGAGGTTCTTGTTTTTGTTGAGGAAATATATGATGCAAAATGCTATTTAGAAATATAAGATGCTTTACAAATTTTTTTGTTTTGAAACTATAATTTTTATTACAATAATTGTGATTTTCCACAAGCCCAATTAGTTGTACTAACCCAGTACTTGGCGCCGTAGCCACAGTGCACGCTGGGTAAAATAATATGATTAAAGTCAAATTGGTTTGTTGATGCTCTGACTAATACTCAGAAGAAATATCATTTACCGAAAAAAAACCCCATAATAATCTTAATAAAATCTTAAGTTGCAGTAATCAATAAAACACCTGATCTAATATAAAATTTTACCCATGGATATGTCTGGTACATAATAAAACCTTTGAACAATGCTGTTTAATCACTCATCTATAAATAGAGAGGGTGAATCTTCCCTTCAATACACCAGGAAAAGAGAGCATTAATAGGAAAAGAGACTATAAGGGTAATCATAACTTTTATGGAGTTGTGAGGATCAGTCAGATCAGGTGGGAAAATATTTTAGCATAACTATTAATCGTGCACTACAGCTTTAGTCTTAATGAAGCTGTGGAAAGAAGAACAGCTTGGCAAAGCATTTTCACTCTCTGTAAAAATGCAAAATCAAGCTTCACTGTCTGTCTACCTAGTTTAACTTGAAGTTAGTGGCTTTATTTTAAAAGTAGGGAGAAGTTAATGTGGAATAAACACTTTTACAAAGACCATTGTCCTATAGAGAACCGACTCCTACCCCTCTGCAACAGGAGTTTTCAAATAAAAGGGACAGATAGGGTAATGATTACCTATCCTCTTTGATGACATCCACAAAGTGAGCATCACTCCTTTCCCGGAAGTTCTTGGATCTCAGCGGGATGAGTGCAGAGTGATCCATGCCCATGGCTCCTCCACTCCAAGTCTTCTTCTCTTTTTCCTGCAGCATCTCACAGAGCGAGGTCTGGCTGTTATTCAAGGCCTCGAGCTGAGGACTGAGCAGGCCATTCACCGTCTTGGGGCTGCGGCCAGCCGATACCGCAGGGGAACACTTCAGATTTGAAGAGTCCTAAATGAAAGGGGAGGTCAGAGAGAGAGAGGTCTAAAAATCCAATGACAGAAGCACAGCTTTGCTTTTTGAAGGTTTTATGTAATGGCATAAAAGGGGCATAAAAAGTCATATCTATTTAAAGGCAAGAGTTTAAATCTTGTGCTCAATATTTTATGCAGCTTTCAATACAAAGTACAAACACACAGGACTGCTTAAATTCTAATTTTATTTTATAGAAGCTTGCATATATGGCTCACTTTCTCACCTTGCCGTTATTGGGTTTGTCATCATGGCAGCCATTATGTACCTTTTCCTCTTCAACAACCTGATCCTCATCTGTTAGGGTCACACCACAGGACAGACAGGGGGACTGTCCAGAGATTGGAAACACAAAGATGAGGTCATTGGTAAAGTGTGTTAAGTAAAACTGAAAAGGTTAGCAGAAGAAATCACAAGAGTTTTAACACATTAGGCAACAAAGGTGCCATCCACACAGAAACGAGGCAGAATGAAAAGGCACAAGATTAATATTTTTAACACTTGTGTCCTCATGGAAATTGTGGGTTTAGTGAATGAATCATGTAAAATGGTGCTGTTAAAAAAAATGGTAAAAGCTACTGACATTTTTTTTTTTTTTTACAGCTTAACACATCTGGTTTGGAAGGATTCCTAAAAAAAAAAAGGGATTCCATTAGAACCCACTTTTTTAGGAAAAGAGGCAATGGAGCGTCTTTATGTGGGTATCAGAGTCATAGGAAAACTTAATGTAAATGCTAACACTAGTAGGCGTCATGGTGGGGTGGTATCTCCAGCAGTCTATGTGCTAAAGGCAGGGTACACCCTGCAGATGTCGCCAGTCTATCACAGGGTAGAGACATACAACTATGCACACATACACACAAAATTTAGAGATGCCAGTAAATCTAAGAGTCATGTTTGGACTGTAGGAGGAAAATATTAAAAAAAAACCTATGCATGCACAGGTAAAACATGCAAAGTCACTGCAGAAAGAAACTAGGCTAGGAATCGAACCTTGAACTTTCAACAACAGTGCTACAAAATGTGCCACCCGCTGGATGAAACATGCTTGCTTTACAGATGTAGGTTTGGAATCATTACTAAAGAGCTATGGGATGTTTTTTGTTTTTTTTCTGGCTTCCAGCCTCTTTCCATGAGCCTGATCTAGGCATGGTAGATCTATGTGCCAAGGCTGACCTGAGATACAGCGTTAAGAGTGATGTAATGGGAATCTGCCAAATGGGAGAGATAAGACACTGAGTCCTCTCATGTACAAGCAAGCTTCCAAACAAAATGCCTTCACACCTGGCTGAAAAAGATTTTACCACGTACATATAATCACGTGACTTTTTCAAAGATCCCTTATCATATTAAAAGCTACAGAGAAGACGGAAGGCTAGAATAGACGAGCTTGAAGAAACCATTACCCTAGCCTCTTAACGTCCATTTTATTCAAAATTTGTTTACTTACTACACTTAGTGGATACAGAAATATATAAATAAAAAAACAACCTTGTTTAATTTCATATTTTGTCATCTGAAGATAAGATGTTTTGTGAATCATGTGACCAAAACACTTTATAACATGATTAAAAACCAAACAGGACTCTTTCAAAAGCAGAGAAATAAATATCAGCCACTTTAAATTTAATGTTTAACCTTAGCTGCTGCAATCTGCCATCATTAAGTGTCTTGGAATAACCCTAAACATAGCTTGATCATTTAGGAAGGCTTTCCCCTGTATCCTCTTGATCACAGCAAAGCAATTGTCTGCAGAAGGAATCTCACAATTTAATTCAATTTCAATTCATTGGCCACAATTCAATTTAAAATTGACTTAAATGTTTCAATATTGATTTGATGATACATAGAGGTATATATTATTTGAGTAACTGTTCATACATTGTTGTCCCGATTTTCTTGTCTCTGTTAACAGTCATTATATATTAGTGCACATAATAATTTTTGAGCAATTAAATATCAGTATTGAGAATGAAAAAGTAAAAACATTAAAGTATAAAAGTATCATTGAAGGAAATTGCTTATAAAACCTGATTTTCTCCTTGAGAAGTGGAGGATGATTCATTAAACAGAATAATAGTTTATATAATAATAAAACAAAATCAGAAAATAAAGCACTTGCACAATAAAGGTTGTGTAGAATTAACTCACTTTTAACTAAAGATGTCAACTTAATTCAAATCTGGGCATAAAACTATATATGCACATAGTTAGAGTGTTAATCTGATAGTTTTAAAGCTCGTAGGGCCCACATACTGATCAGCATATAGCCTAGAAGGCAATCTAACAGAGACATGTAGTTTTTTGAATTCTAAGCAAAATAACAATGACAAAATAAAGGGGGTTTGGAAAGCGACTGTAAATGTAAGCCTACACTGTTGATAACTCAACCTTTGCAGAAACAGGCTCTTTTCTACTACAGCATATATCATTTTATAATTATCCAGCATCTTAACATCATTACTGGGCTACAAGTCAGAAGTGTTTAAAAGGGTTGCTGCACCTCTCAACTTATAGAGCTAGCGAGCAACAAATCTGGGCCTACAGTTTTTTAATTGTAATGTACAGTGAGCAGATCAGCCTGGCTGGAACGGAGGAGGGAAAGAAGGCAATGGGACTGTGGCGCCGCAGAACAATCTACCAGAGGGGATAACACCTCCATGCCCTGAACCAAAGACCAACCAGGAAAATCCTATATGCCCATGTGTCACTGCATCAAAACTGCAGTAGAGTCATTTACTTTGGCTTTGGCTTTTTTCACCTTTCTCCAGAAAATAAACACTTGAGGTCTCTCAAATCGTGTGGGTAAAGGTATCCTGGTCAGATAACACCAAGGTTTCTTTTTTTCTTTTCTGTTTTTAGTATATTTTACTGAGGAAAAGAGATGAAGCAAAAAAAAAAAAAAAAAAAAACATTACTGAAAGAACACCATACCCATAGTAAAGCAAATTGGTGGCAGCATCATGGTTAGGTGAAAGAATTTATTAACGGTTCAAATGCAAGCCAGTGTTGGTCAAAAATCTTCCAATAGAAAGGCGAGAAAAGGAAGCCCAGTGCTTTAAATTTAAAGCACTTAAAAAAATATTTCACGAGATTTTGAAAGTAAAATAGATCGATACCACGTTTTTAAAAATCGATTTGATATCAGCATATGAAAATATATTTGAGTATATTATTTTTCAAAGTGTCAGAAATGGATAACAAAACTGCTATTTTCAATGACTACTTATTTTTGTCCAGCTTTAACATCGGTATCGATATCGGTTATCAGCTACATGAGTTTTAAAATATCGGCATATCGGATATCGGCCAAAATCCCAATATCGTGCATCCCTAATAAATATTTGCATGAACACATACATATTAATCTACTGTTTCCACTGTATTAGCAGTTGTGATTATGCATATGCTATTAATGCAGCAATGGCTGGAATTTTATCTATTGCATAGGTCTAAAGCATTGGTATGATGGCCAGCACATTTATTCACAGACAATGTTTCAGCTTGATATTGCTTTAAGGGGTGATGGCCACAGTAAGCATAAAAACATTTTAGAAAAGATTTATTTTGGCTTGGTTTGTATTACATTACAAAAACTAGCTTTGAACAGTTTATCCCCAAATATACATTGTTTTTATAAAGGAAGATGCATTGAGATTTCCGGTTAAAAAGTAATTATTTTTAAAAACAAATACCTTTTTTGTAATTGTAAAGCATTATTATACAAAATGTGGTCTCTTAGTAAAATTCTGACTAGCCTGGAACAAAAGTGAGTATGAGTAAAATAAATTTAAAGCTAAACCCTCGTAGGGGCAGCAAAAGTGATATACTCCTACGATACAGGATCCACAGGGTTATATTAATGTACTTACAAGATAAATAAAAATATGAGGCATCATGATAGTATTGGGCAAAAAGTCAAATCAAAGACAACCTCTCTGCATGAAAAAATGTTTATGCAAGCTTCTGATACACCCACATACAGCAAAAGGGGTTGTAGTTACACACAATGCTCTTCCTCAGGCGGTGTAGCTGTGCAGCTATAAACAATACACCTTCAACTACATCTCCTGTTATTTCAGAGAATGTTACTTACTCACCTTGGTTTTGTCTGAGGGAAGGGTACAGGCTGCATCAGGCATGTGCAAACCAGGCATCTGGCACTGGGGATCAGCATCCCCCATCTGGGTGCAGTTACAGTGAGCCTCCACTTTTCTTCCAGAGATGAGGTAGGTCCTCATGCCTGGAGTGGTGACAAAAAGATTAGGCCAGAGTGGGCGTTAGTTGTGTATTGAGGAAGCTTAAGGTTACACTAGGATTTGTGAATTCCCTCAGTTATGTACTTATGCATGTCTTAAAGAAAAAAGTGCTGAATATAAAGCTCAGTTGTTCACAATTTCAAGGTCAAAAGCATGACTCATTTTTTCTATATTATTATGAAGGCATACAAACCTTGTGTCTGTATCTTTTTTTTCTCCAAATTTCTTTTTAATTTTAATTTTTTTAAATATAAAACAGATTGTTCAGACACATAAAATGTTGATGGAAATGACAGAAACGTTCCAGTAAGCCTCGGCTCAAAGTGATCATTTGAATACATCACTTTAATTTAACTGCTACTTTTCTTTCCCTCCATGAGGTCAATTTCTTTCTCTAATCACCTTGATCTCAAGTTGTTCCACAATACGAGATTTAAGTTATTCAATGTAAAATTTACAAGCATATCATCTTGCAAAAATATAGATATATCCCTTGATTGTTTGCAGAATTTTTTGAGCATAACGTCTCATCTTCAAATCAGCAAGATTCCCCTGGCTGCACCCCTCTTGCCTTTTGCTGTCAATTAGTTGGACAGCCATGTCTAAGTAGATGTGCAGTTGTGTTACACTCAGTTTTTACATGAGGGAATGCTTTACCAAAAGCAAATGCACACTACACTTTTCATATTTGGACAACTACATGGTCTATAACATTAAATTAGGTTTTTGGTTCTAACTTCACAAAATGTAAGGGGTATGAGCACTTTGCCATGCATGGTATGTCAACATGGGTAAAAAAAAAAAGTTTGGGTTTGTGTCAACGGACTCGACAAATTTCAGGCCCCAGGCAATGTTTTCCACATGCATGTTTTCCCTTCTATTAACTTATCGGGATGATAGTTCGTACAGGGTTTCTGTGCATTTGGGGAGGCTTTTTCCTGGAAGACATTACTTGTGAGATTCCACAGGGGTTTGTTTGTCTGAGGCCCCAAATACATATATAAATATACGTTGGTCATTTTGGGGTAAACAAACAGAGGCTATTTATGTCTGTAACAGTAGAAATTGACATACAGAACTATGGTTAAATTAATTCAGATTGTTATAAAATCTTAATATAGCCAAGCAGAAAAAGGTAACATCAAATATTGAAGAGAAGATAACTTTTCTGCTGCAGCAGAAAAAGTAGGAGGAATTATAGCTGTAGAAAATTCAATATACTGACATATACTGAACCCTAGATTGGTGTAGAAAACAAATTGATCAAAGAATTGAAGCTAAATACCTGCTTATAGTTGCATTTTTCTTCCTAAGATACAATTTGCATTGGATGCAGTCTAGGATGGCGGTGTTGCATGTTCTAACCTTCACCAAGTAAAAGCAGGCTGACCCTGCATTTTCCTCCACTCAGTCAACATTATTTTGTTGTGACAACTTAAGCCATCTGTTTGTTGTCAGCTCAGGTAGCTACAGGTGACTTCATGGTCAGACACATAATTCAGCAGCAGGTAGAGCCGCAGCCTCCAGCACAGAGCGTTGCCTGTGCTAAGCACTCCAGACAGACCTGCAGCTGCCTGTTTTGAACCACCGCAGGGCTATACAACACGTGCACACCAAAAAATATGAAACCAAAAAATATAGGACAAATGGTTGGGATTTAAAAGGAAAGCAAAATGCATAGGTAAACACACAAATGAAATGACAAAGAAATTAACAAATGATCATAAAACTCTGTCCACCTACACACTTAAACACCTATGCATGAAGTGTGTGGGGGAGTAGGTGGATCGCTTCACTGTAGCTGTGTCAATGGGCCAGGTGGATGAGATTCTAGGATAAGAAACTAGGGTGCTCAAAGGCAGGAACAACGAACTAATTCTTTGCACCAGTGATGCAGAATGGCACAGCAGACGAGGACACACAATGGGGAGCAACAAGGAGCTTCTCATGGGCTCCATTTTTAACCCAGTCACAAGGACTCGCTCTGATTTTCAGAATCAGAGAGAAAGAAATAAGCACAACACTGGGTCATTTCATTACTTCACTAATCAAATCTCATTCTGCATCAACCGTGAAGCACATATTGACTTCTGCTTATAGGTTTAAATCATTAATTAGCTGCTCAATTCACACGTCTCTGGCCTTTGTCTAGATATCTATAAAGAAATAACTCAGTCAAGGGTAAATAGATTAAATAAGCACATTATTCAGGAATTATTTTCAGTAACTCAATTGTAAGAGTGAAACTCACAGATTTACTGCAGAATTATATATTGAAAAGGTTAATCCTCGTAAATGTTTTAAAAAGAATTTAGAACATTGCATAAGAATAAGGATAATTAACTTCCATAGCAAATGTACCTTTTGCATTTAGACTATCTTTAAGAGAGCAGTGAGCAGCTTAGGGTCATGCTCAGGCACTTTAGGGTGGAAAGGGTCTCATTCATAGAATATTTAGTGGAATCCTGATTTATAAAACTAAACTCATACACAAAATCAAATGCAACTGAAGCTCCACCTCTGTTCAGCCTACATAAAGCCATGCAAAACTCTGCATGAATATAATTGTGTATCTAAATGATCCAAACGATCAATGTTGTTTAATGATTACCATGGCAAGTGTAATAAGTTTAATAATGTAGAAAATGGTGGTTAGAAAGTGAGGTGGAGAGTCAGATAAATAGGGTTTGCAGCCACAGTAAATAAAATTAAGCATTATTAATGACACCTTCAGAGTCTGATCAGATTAACAAGGACATCCAGGCAGCGTTGCACTTATCGCTGACTGGGATAACAAATTTAATAAACTGACTGCCGCATGAAGACTTGTCCATTTTTCAACCACATCAAACATTATTTCTGTCCATAATTCATTCATATATTTTACATTTTCTAAAACCTTAGGAAAGCTTTTGTAAATAGACTTGACAATTTCATTGATAAATTAAATTTGCTTAGTGACCAACAGTATGGCTTCAGATCCAAAAGCTCCATGTCAGTGGCAATAATGGAATTTGCAGGTGGCATATCCACAGCAATAGACAAGAAAAGAATGTACAGCTGGTGTTTTTTAGATCTCAGTACCATTGACCACCAAGAAAATGGGAAAAAAATTGTGTCAGAGGATCCGCGATTGCATGGTTAAAAAGCTATATGAAGGACAGACATCACTGCGTGTAAATGCAGGGTATAGACTCTGAGAATACTATTAATAATAGACTTTCAGTTAATCTAAGCAAAACAAATTGTATTATATTTGGTAATGTAAAATAAAAAAATGTATTGATATTAAAATTAATATTAGAAAGAGTGACTTATCACAAATATCTGAGTATTTATGTTGATGAAAAATTAAACTGGAAAACACAAACTAGTGTACTTCAAACCAAATTTGCTAAAATTATAGCCATAATGAACATGTCTGTGATGATTCTCAGGCATCCAGGTCATGGTCAAGCTTGAAAAGCTCAATATAGGCAACTGGATGTGAAATTCACATCCTCTCATCCAAGAGGATTCTTCCGTTCTGATGGTAGCACTGAGATTAATATCCTGTAGGTGAAACAAAGGAATTAGATGGAAACAAACAAAAGGTTGGCTCTGATCCGTCCTACTGGATGGGCCATGGAGTTCACCTCGGGGGTGTTAATGGTTGTTAGGGGGCTTCTGATCAATCGTCCGAGTGGTTTCCGTCACTTTTCAAGTGTCAAGTAAGGGTAGCTGAGAGGTGAATCTTCTGGGTATTGCTCTTAAAACTGCTTTGTAAGTAGATTACCAGTTATGTCCAAGACCACCTCCTCTGTTGAGAGATGTTTATTCGAGATTAACAAAGATGGCTTCATTAACCCCTCTCTCAAACCATCTGTCTTCTTTGGCCAGAATATGGACATTCTTATCCTCAAATGAAACACCCTGAGACTAAAACTGGTTCTCCCCAAAGATAAGACACCTAGAAACAAGACCAGCAACATGGTTTAAGCCATTCAGTGCATTGAAGAGTGCACATACATGTACATTGGAGAGACCAAGCAACTGCTACAAAGGAGGGCCAACTCCTCCAGACAAGACTCAGCTGTTCACCTACACCTGGAGGCTAAAGGACACTTTAGCTGTAGCCTGGCCAGCCAGGCTGAATTACATAGAGCGTAATTCACTCTGGTAAACAGGCCTGACCAATCACAATGCAGCATACAGGACTTTACTATGCTTGACTCTCTGCGCCAGGAGTACCCATAATGCAGCAGCGTTTTTTTCTGCTAGAATAACAGAAAGGGGCGACGACAATGAAGCGATGAAAATTTGGAACATAATTGACATTGTGATTTTTAAGGCTAACCCGGACGATTTTTTTCACTGGAGGGTTAGGCATTATAAGTACATGTTTAATTTAGCCTACATGTTTTCGTCCATTATGTGAGTTACGATCCTGTTTATATTTTGATGTGTATTATGTAAACCAAAGAGTCAATCTGAATCTAAATTGCAAGATATCTTTTATTTATACGTAATTTAGTTTATTTAGAGCGGTTGACCCAGCTAGACTTTTTCACATTAGAGTTATGCTCACTGACCTTGTTTAACACCTTTGATCAACTGGTATGGTGTGGGTCCAGTGGGTTGGTCTCTTTAATAGTGGACCTATTCATCACATGAATCCAAAAGCAATTCTCTAGGGCAGGGGTCTGCAACCTGGGGCTAAGGAGATTAAGCGATTCTTTTGAACCTCTACAAAAGCTCTTAATATTGGCCTAAAAATAAAGAACCTAGTAATGTATAATACAAATACGAGTCTTAGGACATGTATAGGGTTTTTAAAAAAAATAACAGAACAACACCCTATTGAAGAAAATCCATGCTATGTCTTTATGAAACATTTTATGTTTTTCCTCCTTTAAAAGCTAAAAATTAAAATAAATTTTTGGTTGTTTAAAATGATAACGGATTCTCTATAACAGATATTCAACAAAGATAAACTGTCTTTTAT